CTTTTGTTAAAAGTATGTTTTCCTCTCTTACTAAGCAAAAAGTAAAGGACCCTATACCACGCCTTCTGGTGTATTGGGTATGTAGGGCTAGAGCTATATTTTATAGACCGAACGGCACTTGGTGGGTGATGTGGTTAGCTTCACCCGGCCGCCTTTACTTCTCAGGACTGCACCTCGTACCCAGTCAAGGCTAGGTCGACCTGGGAGTCAAAGTCATTCTGGTAAAAAAATGTCCGACCCTGTCAGGACCCGAACCCACGACCTTACGATCCGCAGGCGAGCATCTAGCCACTAGACCACGGCGGCTCCCTCTGTTGATGACATATTTTATTTAAAAAGGAAGAGGACGGGGTGAGGGAGAAGAGGGCCTGGAACATTCTGATGTTTAGATACTTCACCGCTGAGCTGTATCTATTTAAAAATAAATATAACACCAACTAACGTAATTATACAATAATTAACGCGTGTAATGTATTATTTACATGAGAGCATAAAACAAGGGTAAAAATGTGTGTATAAATGACTAGACATATAACATTTAAGTAAAGTCATCACAAGCATGTAAGCAAAAATTAATTCGTAGAAGATGTGCTTCATTATCACAAATAAGATTTCCACCAGGCACACCGTGAATGAGGGAGACGCTTGCTTGCGCATCGGAAGGTCGTGGGTTCGGGTCTTGACAGGGGGCCAGACCTTTTCAAAAATGATATTATCTCCTAGGTCGACCCAGCTTTGAGTGGGTACCAAGTAACCCCATGAGAAGTAAAGGCGGCCGGCGTGATGCTAACCACATCCCCTATCAAGTGCCGTTTGGTCTATAAAATATCAGATCCATATTTTCATAGACCAATCAGCACTCGATCGGTGAAATCATTGACATCAGACATGCCTTTTATTTCTCATTATTCTTTATGTGTTACTTCTAAGTAAATGCCTGTGCTGAAAGCTGAAGTGTTTTGGCCATGGGGACCTTGAGAGAACAGTGATGAAGGGTACAGTTTCCGGTAAAGTAGGCAGGAACAGACTTTCTCGAAGGTGGATGCAAGACATTGACGATGTATTGAATATGAGAGCTGTTGTCTATTCAGGAAAGAACATGCCATCAGATGCTGATCTGCCTATGCTCTGTAGTTTGCCAAATATGAACCTGTTGGTATTGATTGTTTGACAGTTAAACCATCTGAGCATTTAAATCTATTCCTCCTCCCTTTTGAGATTACGGGGCAAAGTCGCCGGTGCCATTGTTGGTTCACTAATTTACACGATCACTGGGTATGCGGAATACAGAGTTTGCGATGGTCTGAGCAAGCCGCTAGCCTATCTGCGAAGGGAGACGTGCAAGAAACACTAGTGGGACCAACAGCAATTGTATGTCTGTCTTGCCCCTTCTTTGAGTGTCTGTCGACCAGATCCTTTGATGACTCCCCGCTGTAGCATTATCTCCTCTGAACTCTTCACTCGCTCGCAAAAAGTTTTGATCAGTTAGTCGTGCATCGATGTACTACTGCCTAGTGGTGCCGAACTAGACAAACCGTCTGATTGTTCATTTCCCAATAAATCTGCTCAATCTAGAGGAAATATCAAATGGACGGCAACTACTAGTGACCTTTGAAGCCATGCTTGCCCCACTGCATGAAGGTCTCCACCTTTCGCAGTATGCTCTATGAATCTGTTACAATTAGCCACGCGTGCAGCTGGTTCTCAAGCCAGTAATATTCTGCCATGACTACCCCACCAGCAGTTCTTAAACTAGATTTGTGATATCATACATGGTCCCTAAACGAAAGGCTTCTATCGAATGTGATGCACAGGTACCCCAGTTTACCTGATAATAATACCAACAGTAAGAACAACAACAACAGGATAGCAGTACTGAACTGACATCATCATCATCATGTAGCAGATCCTTTGCAGAACGTCGCTCTCATCACAGTCTGCCTGAAAGAATCTCGGTCTCTCGCTAGTTCTTTCGCCTCATGCACTTTCACACTCAAGGAGGCACATATATCCTGTGTCCATCTTCGTGTCGGTCGGCCCCTGCCCCTCCTTCCTGGTACCATGCATTCTGCTATAATATTGTCCAATCCGTCGTGGCGCTTGATATGACCAAAATATTTCAGCTTTCGAGAAGGGATACTGTTTATTAGCCAATCTTCCTTGATGTTCAGATCTTTTAAGGTGTCAATATTTCTGATCTTCTTTATCCAATATATTCTAAGAATCTTTCTATAGCAATTCAGCTCAAAAGTCCCTATTCTCTTTCTTAAAGACTGAGAGATAGTCCACGACTTACATCCGTATGTAGCCTGGGGGAAGGAACAGACATCACAATTATATATTTTAGGTTTGCTCTATTCTTAATCTCTGTTTAATCTCATATATGTCCTAGTGCAATGAGCTTCTTCTCGTGTCGACTGACTTTCTACCACACTAGGACATCACACAAGCGATAAACACCCGACGACACAAAGTGCCACCATGTGGATGAGGATCGCCGTGGAGAGGTCCCAGAAACCGCGTTAGGACAATTGGTCATATGTATGGCCTGCCTATATTGCGGCCCCAGGCAAAAACCAGGGTGGGGCTTCAAAAAACAAAAAAATTCGTCCTAAAAAGGATGAAACATGTATAATCCGAACCTTGTTAGTATCTTCTCGTGTCTTTTGCATTCTGATTTTATACCCCCCCCCCCCCCCCCCCCCCCCAACCCATCATTGGCTTCGTAAGCTTTGTAAACTTTGCTACACTAATATACCAGATCCTGCACGATATGTGAACGTCTTAATGGTTTGAAAAAAAAAAAAACACACACATTATATGGGCCCCGTCTGAAATTGTCCTTTGTCAGGTGTCAAATGGCAGGTTTGCAAACAGCCATCCAAACAAACCTCCGACGTTGTTTCGTGTTTCTGCGAGAGAGACGAAATCGGAATCTTGTGAGTGCTTTTTCCCTTGCGCGCTGATTTTATTTGCTAACAATGTTGTAATAACTATTATTTTGTTTCTTAAGAAACGACATTAATAATTTTGTTTTCGCATAACCCGATTAATCTTAAAAATTCTGTTAACATTTTCGTCTTTGACAGTAAAATAAATACTTTCGTTTACTCGTCTGATTGTTTAAGTACCTTTATTGCTCAGAGTAGTTATTTTCATGTCCACTTTCTGTATTTAGTTCATGTTTTCTGTTGACAATTTCAGCAGTAGAATGCTGACACTGTACTCTTGTTATATTCTTATGAGGCCGACTATCCCTTTTTTTCAGTTGTTCCTTTATTTACTACATTATTAAATATCTGACTTTAAAGATCTTCGCGTAAATCTCGCTGGCAAGGCTTATGGAAACGGTCAGTACAAAAGGGTGAATTATTTATGGAACATTTACTTACATGTTTAAAACTACATATTTTGCATTTTTTTCCGTTCCCGTTACAACTGGTATTGGTGGGTATGTTAAGACTTAGACGTGTTGCCTGACCACGGCTTTCTGACGCATTTCTCTTATATTTCGACGAGCATGTGCCTGGTTTCGTTGAACATCCATCGAACTGAGTGGTTTGCGAAACACTGTTAGGGTGTATATTGATTATAATTATTTGCTCTGTCACAAAAGCGGGTTCTGTTCTTAACTGCGTATACTTAAAATGTCTGGTGGTCGGTTTTGCGTCAGCATT